AGAGAGAGAGAGAGAGAGAGAGAGAGAGAGTAAATCAACACATTACAATGCAAAGACACACATTGCAATAAATTAACACTCTGTGTCCCTGCCAAAAGCTGGATATGAAACAAAAACGGACATTGACGACATATAAACAACTGACAATGTTGAAAAACATTTGGAAGTACAAGAACGTTCTCTCAGTCTGCACTCACAGCATCATACGTCTTGTCCTGGTTCTCCAACTTTCCAATACCCCCGTAAATGGTTTGGAAAACGTAGCCCTGAAAAAACCGACAGTACAAAGCAGTACATGGTTTGGTGTTCCTGCTGGGTTCGCTACGTTGGCCAATGACGGAAAGAGCTATCCACATTACTACGACGGCTCCTGCTCTCATACAGATCTCGCTTACGACACCCAACGAAACCAACCAGGTTGGTGGATGGTCGATCTTCTTCAGCCGTATATTGTTGAATCTGTCAAGGTCACAAGCCGTGGTGACTGGCATTATCCTTTGCTGAATTCCACCATTTATGTATCTGAGAGGAATCCCCAAGATGATCCGGAATTCCCGAAAGAGGAGAGTATGGGAAAGATATGTGTTCGCAGGAAGGAGGTAGGGCAGGGGGAAACTGTACTGTTGTCTTGTGGTACTCCTGTCTTGGGTCGGTTTGTCACCATGGTAAAGTGGGACCGCGTCTACGGTTTGGTATTGTGTGAATTCCAAGTGTTTGCCCAGGCGGTCATTGTGTCATCATCCAATGTACAGTTTTCTGTGGCTATTTCTGCGGGGCGAAAAAGTTTGGCGACTCCTGTAATCTCAAAGCAGGGCGTGAGAAGTTTGGTAGAGTGTGCCAGAGTTTGTATGTGGAAGGAGGAGATAGGACAGATGTGTAACGCATTACAGTACAAGGCTAGCACAAGCCTGTGTGAGTGTCTACAGCTGTCGGCTTTACACTCATACAAGCGACAACTGAAAGACCCTGACTGGAAGCTTGCTACGCCAATATGACCACAACTAGAGACTTGCTCGTTTATGCAGAGTTTGCACTTTTTAGGCTGGTTTGTTTTACAGCACTTGCAACATAAATATGTTATATAAGTGCGGAAGAGTAGAGGTTTTATTTGAGAGTAGCATAAATAGAAAAGGAGGAGAAATAAGGGCGATACATAATTGATAGGAAAGAAGGAGCTTACCACACCGAAGCACCAACAAAGCTCAACAACCATCAATATTATGGTCATCATCCAAGTATAAAAGCTTTATCTAGGTTGACAGGTTGGTAAATCAGTTTGCTGGTTAGTTTGAACAAAGAGGAGTATATTGTTTCGGCAATGGTCATTAATCAGGCATAAAGTTCTTCGTTGGTTGGAAAACTAGTTTGTGAGTTAGTTTGAGCAAAACGAAGTTCATGCAGAACAGTAATGCTATTTACAGCGCTTGTTCATTTTGAACTCAAAATGGAATAAAGTCGTTATGCGTCCATTCCACCGTTCACATTAACGTGTTCATCTGAGGGCCAGGGGGTTGGGGGGGGGGGAGTTGTCCTCTTAACGAATTCCAGAGGAACCGCTTTTACAGGCCTTGCTGTAGGCCTACTAGTGTATTGTTGTTGTTGGTTTAAAAAAAAATTGATGTAGACCAATATTTTTTTGAAAATACTAGCCCTTCCGCCAATATCTGACGATGACCAACACATCCTGGGACTGGGAGGAGAACATTTCTTCAGCAAACTGGTAGAATTTGAAGAATTTCAGGTTACGATGACTTGTGGCTTCTGCTGTGGCCGATGAGACCAATTGTGGCGGAGAAAAGTTTGCCACATTTTGAACCTTTAAAGGCTCCACTTCCACTTGTGGATGTGCGCAGCTTGCGGGCTTCTCTCTTGGTGTGGAAGATGAATAATGTTGATAGGGACATTAAATCCATATCATCCTTACTTACTTACTTTTGTACATCATGAATAGTGTTGATTGGGGCGATAAATCCATATTCTTTCTTACCTACGAAGACTATGAGCGGGGGGAAAGAATGGATTTTTATATAGTACGGATTGAGGATGGTAGAATTTTGAATTATCTTCACTTACTACACGACATATTATTATGTTGCCTTATTTGTGTTGCTGATAGTAATAGTGAACGTCATTTACTTTGAAATGGATGTAAACTTTATATTATGTGCATTTTTTCTTTCTTTTTTCTCTGGGTGTTTTTTTCTCTGACAATTTACCTTGTCCTTGTTTATAACATTTGGACAGGAATTATTTATTTTCTTGCAACATTAAAACGTTCTTCAAGAATGAAAATGGTTTTTGACTATTTTGAGACATGGCGTGATGGAATTAGGAATACAAAGTTATTGGTGTCACCCAGAAGGTGACGAATAGACGTCCAGATATTTGCAATTGGAGGGGATGGAGGTCGGACGCTGTCAGAGGTAAAATTAGCGAGAAAATGGCTGCCAAATTTTGGTGATGTCAAAGCTTTGAGAATCCTTGGGATCTGTAAATTTTCATTTGTGTGTCTTTTATCAATGTTTTCCAGTTTAAAAAAAAGATAACATTTGTAGAGCTCATATTCGGGCTCAACAGCAAGCCTTATGCACTTTACAATCTACTGGTATTACCCCAGCAGACCTGATAGTATCCTGAAACAATCTCAACCTCCTGAGAAGCATACACTGCAAGCTGCTTTTTTGGGCACTAAAATACGAACATTCTGACAAGATCTTTCGATGTCTCTGGCCGGCTACCCATTCTCACTTGGTTGAAGAGAAGAAAATTCGTGTGAAGTGCCTTTCCCAAGGACACAATGTCGGAACTGTGGCTCAAACCCCCGAACTCGCAACCTCACCATCACGAGTCTGGTAGCTTAACCACTAGATTCAGCACCGTACATTCATTTAAAACACATTGTCCTTATGGATTCGCAAAATACGGTACTTTATAAATTAGAATTACAAGCATCACTAGAATAATACACAACGTCTCAAAGGTATTTTTCTCTGTAAGTTCAATGAAGTCACTCAGGATGAGGTCCTGGATTATATTTTTTATTCACCTTCTAAGACATGTGTATTTTAGACCCCATTACAACAACACTGTTTGAAGGAATGAAGGAATGCATTGGTTTTGTCACACCGATTGTTACTTCTCTGATATATCTTTAACTTTTCACTTATAAATGGTATTGAACCGGGCTGTTATAAGCTGGCCATCCTAAAGCCAATTTTAAGGAAGGCCGGTATTGTTTAGAACAACAATATGAGCAACTGCTGTCCAGTATCCAACCTTCAGATTTTGGGAAAAATTCCCCTGAGACAGTCTTAAGGCCATTAATCAACGTTCTGGGAAAAGACTCCCATTCAGCATTATAAGCAAACCACAGTACTGAAACAGCGCTTCTGAAGGTCTCAAATGACATATTAAAAATAAATGGGATCGACAGTTAAATGGTGTGTGTGTGTGTGTGTGTGTGTGTGTGTGTGTATGTATGTATGTGTGTGTGTGTGTGTGTGTGTGTGTGTGTGTGTGTGTGTGTGTATGTGTGTGTGTGTGTGTGTGTGCGGAGCGACAATAGAAATAAAAAGTTTGGCCAATATTTTCACATGGAGCTGTGTGTGACACTTAAGAGCAGAGTGACTTCATTCATTATGACATCAAACAGAAATAAAAAGTAAAGGTGAGTGTCTGGTTTTACTCCCCCTTTCAACTCTATTCGGTCATTTACGAGGTGAAACCTCGTAAATTAACGTCCATCTCCGATAAGACTAAGCAACGTGGCATGAGTGCCGTGGAAACCCCTACTTTTGAGTAAGCTCTGTTTGTATAATATTATTATTAGAAGTATCATCATCATCATCATCATCATGTTCCTGATCATCATCATCATGTTCCTGATCATCATCATCATCATCATCATCATCATCATCATCATCATCATCATCATCATCAATTGATTGCCAGACAGCCGTCCTAGAAAGAAAGCCCTTGATCAAACAGTCAAGCCTAAAAACAGCAGGAAAGGTTAGTTTCGGATGGGCACCGATCTAGCAGACCACCTCCCCCTTGAAGCAGAGAATCGATGGCCGATCAATCTAGTGAGAGCGTGTCCATGGGAGATCCATGGCGAAATCGAAATCAGGACAGACTTGATAGGAATGAAGAGCAAAAGTGATGATCCTGTAAACGTACTTGAAGCCGCAGAGGATGTAATCAAAGAGGTTGGTGCCGATGTGACAATTTTCACTGATGGATCGGCTGTTGCAGGATACCGCAAAGGTGGAGCAGCAGCAGTGGTGATAATGAATGATGAGCCACCACGAGCTGAAAACATTAGAACGAATGGTGCATTCCTCACATCATCTTCTGAATATTTATGACATTATTTTAAAGAAATACATGTATGCGTGGAGCTTCGCACCTTCCGGGCTTCATCAGGACCGCGATAAAAAACAACAACGGGAATGCAAAGATAACAAAACTGCAGTAGCAAAATAATATGTGAGGCACCGTCGTGGAATCAGGCTCTCGTCAATTTTTGGGCATGTAGAGTTACTGGTATGGTCTTAAAGGTTGTTTACTTGTGTTTATTTGGATTTAAAAAATATCCATTTATCTTGATTACAAGTCGAGATATTTGCGAAAGAAAGAGGTGGGGGGTCATCTGTTTTCAGAGGTAAAATGAGTGAGGAAATGGCCGCCAAAGATTAGTTATTTCCTTAGTTTAAGAGTCCGTGGTAACTGACAATTTACATTTTTTGTGCCTTTAATCAACGTTTTTTCAGAAAAAGTCACACAGAAATGAGTTCTTTAATGGGCATGAAAGGTGTTGAGTGAAAAAACTAAAATTTGATAAAAATTCACAAACCTGCGAAAAAATGCAAGTTTCTTCACTTTGATTATTTTGACGAGAGCCTGATTCCACCACGCTGCCTCACATATGCCTTCACTAAATACATTCTTCCTCTTCTTCTTCTTCTTCTTCTTCTTCTTCTTCTTCTTCTTCTTCTTCTTCTTCTTCTTCTTCTTCTCCTTCTTCTTCTTCTTCTTCTTCTTCTTCTTCTTCTTCTTCTTCTTCTTCTTCTTCTTCTTCTTCTTCTTCTTCTTCTTCTTCTTCTTCTTCTTCTTCTTCTTCTTCTTCTTCTTCTTCTTCTTCTTCTTCTTCTTCTTCTTCTTATTATTATTATTATTATTATCATCATCATCATCACAGTTATTATAATTATTATTGTTATTATCATTATCATTATTAATATTATTATTATCATTATTATTATTTTTATAATAATAATAATAATAATAATAATAATAATAATAATAATAATAATGATAATAATAATCTTTTTTCTTCTTCTTCTTCTTCTTTTTCTTCTTCTTCTTGAAATGATAATAAATAATAATAGCTATAATAATAATAATAACAACAACAACAACAACAACAACAATAACAATAGTTATAATAATAATAATAATGATATTGGTAATAATAATAATAGTAATAACGTAAATATTATTGTTGTTGTTATTATCATCATCATTATTATTTTTATTACTATCATTATTATTATTACTATTACTATTACTATTATTATTATTATTATTATTATTATTATTATTATTATTATTATTATTATTATTATTATTATTATTATTATTATTATTATTATCATTATTATTATTATTATTATTATTATTAAAATTATTAGTGTCATTATTATCATTATTGTTGTTATTATTATCGTTATTATTTTTTTAATTCTTTTATTATTATTACTATATCTTTTGTTGTTATTGATATTGTTGTTATTGTTAATATTGAAATCAGTAGTAGATCTAGTAGCTGTTGTACCAGTAACGGTAGTAGAAGTAGTAGTAGTAGTAGTAGTAGAAGTAGTAGTAGTAGTAGTAGTAGTAGTAGTAGTAGTAGTAGTAGTAGTAGTAGTACCGGTAGTACAGGTAGTAGTGTCAGGTCAGGGAAAAATCCCTGCTACTGGTAAAGCCGGGAGCTAGGGCGAAAACCACTCAACATTGACGTCTTCCAGACAATTGCAGCTATGGCGACAGCAACAACAACACAACAAGAAACACACATACAAACATTGATACTCCATCATGCAGAATGCACGCATTGGCCAAATCATTTCGTCCGAAATCGTCTCAGTACACGATCTAAGCTGCTGTCTTGGAGAAAAATAAATTATTTTAAAATCTTGACTCAGAAGATCTATCTTATGGCTTCTGTTTACATTTTGATTTTGTTTCAAAGCATGCAATACGACTAAGTGCACTTTAGGCGTTCGAATTGGCTCAAGTGATCTGACGTTTTAATCTGGTCCATTAACTAATTAATTAATTTTCTAATTGATTAATGCTATTCTAATAACATCGTTATGTCTTCGTCCCGACTGGTCTTGATGTAAAAATTGAAAACGGCCACGCTTATATTATTGAAAGTCATTGTCCTTCCGCATGTTCTTTTTCAGCGTCTAATGCTAATAAATAGAAATTAGCGGTTCTCGTTAAGCCTTGATTCATCCTCCCAATCTCTTCGGTACACCCTGTTTGGAAATATCTTTGCATTACAGAATATTTAATATGTCTCTGTCTTGCTCTGTCAGTCTGCCTGTCTATCTCCCTCTTTATGGTGGCGTCCAAAGGAAACTTGAAAATGTATTCACCCAATAAGATGTAGCCTACAAAATTAAAGCTAAATAAATCCTGGGCTATTCCACGGTAGCTGATGGGACATTTGGACTCTACTTTCTTACAACCAAAACACTGTAATTCAATATCAGTTAGTTTATTTCAACTTAAAATGATTAGAACATTTGAAAGACGTATAAAGACTCATATTAAAAGCAGTCATTTGAAAAAAAAAAGTTCTTTATGCAAATTATGTGACTAGTTTAGTTTCGGTAACTGACGGGACAGAAAAAATGCCCCTTTTGTTCAGTCAGTTACGGAAACTAAACACTCATAGAATTTGCATAAAGTGCTTTTTTAATGACTGCATTTGATTTTACTGAAAAATTTTGATCAACGGCACAGAAACTGTAAATTTGGAGTTTTCAAGGACTTTCAAGCTTTGGAAGTCTCCAAACGTTGACTGCTATTTTTCCTGCTTATTTTATTTCTTCTGACACCTGGCAAACCCCCCCCCCCCCCCACCCCCCTTCCACCTCCGTCAATCGCGAATATTGCAACTTCTATTCAGGACAGATACATATTTTTCTCACCAAAAACAAGACAAATGAACAAGCTTTAAGATAATACCAATAACTCCATATTATGTTCAAAAAAATTAAAAAAATTAATGACGAGCGCCCGATTCCTACCGCGTCAAGTCACCGAGAGATTAAGTAGTCGACAAGGTCGCGCTGACGACGAGGCGAGAGGGCCAATCAGAAAGCTACATCATTTCTCGTGTGTGTCTTTGTATCTTGTACGCCAGAGCTAAAAGATCTCATAGACCTAGAAAGTCTACCAACTGCGCTAAGTTTTTTAAGGCAGTCTACAAGTGTCGCTCGCAGCAGAAGAACCACAGACTGAGACTGCGGCATAGGCAAGATGTTTTGGTTCCGCGTGTCGCTGCTAATTGCCACTGGCATTTCACAGTGGATGCTCAACACGAATAGTTTGGTCAATTCTTATGAACAGGTTCCTCTCGATGGACAGCTTAACTGGATGTTGTCAGAGGCGTCTACAGGTAAGACAAAACCAAGTCTTTGCATTGTTTTATTATTGAAAAGGGTGTAATTTTCCCAAATTTACTCATTATCTCTCTTTTAAAAATTCAACTCTTTAAAGACGTAAAGGAAACATTGACATTGTGTCCGTCTCTCCATTGAACAAAAGGAAACTTTACCTTTGAACTCAGCCCACCCTCATTTCTGAGCACCCCCCCCCCCCCCCGCCTAGTCTCTTTTCCTACATTTTGATCCGCCCACCGCCATTGGCTCTAAATCTTTGTGGGGCAGCATGACATCAAGCGCTCGTCAAAATACTGAATTCCGAAAAATTGGCATTTTTGGGCCAGTTTGGAATATTTTTTTGTTCAAATTCTGATTTTTTAAAAAAATCAGCACCTTAGACACACACATTTTCCAAGAACTCATAAGCTAGTCACCAAACTTTAGCGGTCATTTTCTCGCTAATTTTTCTTTCTAAACCAGGTGACCCCACCTCCTTCAATCGCAAGTATCTCGACTTCTATTTAATATAAATTGGATTTTAAAAAATCGAAAGCAAGGCAAATGAACAACCTTTAAGATGATACCAATGACTCCCTATGTGTCACAACACGGTGGAATCAGGCGTTCGTCTATATTTGGGCAGGTGGAGTTATTGGTATCATCTGAAAGCTGATTTATTTGCCTTTGCTTCTACTGAATAAATATCCATTTATCTTGAACAGAACTCAAGATATTTGCCATTGAAGAAAGTGAGGTCGCCTGGTTTCAGTGATGAAATAAGCGAGAAAATGGCCGCCAAGGCTTGGTAACTCCAATAACTAAACTTTTTTTGAAAACTGAAAAATGACCAGTAAAATCCACATGGAAATATAATATTTTTTAAATAAGGACATAAAAGATATTCAGCCAAATAATAAAAATTCGAAAAAAATTCCAAAACTGGCGGAAGAATTCGTTATTTTGAGGAGCATCTGACTTCACCAAGCTTCCTCGCATATTGTGCCTAAAATTGACGAGCGCCTGATTCCACTGCGCCGTGACACCTCTATTTAAAAAAAAAAAGCATTTATAAGAGTTCTACGGCGCTCGCAACTGCATAAGGTCATATGAGCCCCAGAAGATTAGAGGTGTTACAAGAGAGTAACAAACATAAAAAAAGAAGAAGGGGAGATGAGGACGGTAGATGTTTGATAGGAAAGAAGAAGCAAACCACACCAGCCCCCCCCCCAACCACCCACGACCTCTATTTCTTGTGTCCACCATCTAGGTGTGAACATACCAGCCTCCGTTCCTGGCTCCATGTACACGGCTCTCTTGGCAAAGAATCTCATCCAAGACCCACTGTACCGGGACAACGACAACAAATATGTCTGGTTGGGTAATTCAGACTGGACGTACTACAGGAACTTCACAGGTTTGTATCGAGAGAGAGAGAGAGAGAGAGAGA